GGAAGGCAGCTGTATGGAGTCCTGGACGACAAGTTGCAGAAACTGCTGAAGGAGAAGGTGAATCGAGTCAATTTGCCGAGGTGAAAGCCATCCAGCTGGCCCTGGACATTGCTGAACGAGAAAAGTGGCCAGTACTTTATCTCTATACTGACTCATGGATGGTGGCAAATGCCCTGTGGGGGTGGTTGAAACAATGGAAGCAGAGCAACTGGCAACGCAGAGGTAAACCCATCTGGGCTGCTGCACTGTGGAAAGATATTGCTGCCAGGGTGCAGAACCTGGTGGTGAAGGTACGTCATGTAGATGCCCATGTACCCAAGAGTCGGGCCACTGAGGAACACCAGAACAACCAACAAGTGGATAAAGCGGCTAAGATTGAAGTGGCTCAGATGGACTTAGATTGGCAACATAAAGGTGAATTATTTTTGGCCCGGTGGGCCCATGACACTTCAGGCCATCAGGGAAACATACGCTGTACCCCATGCCACTGCCTGGAACACCATCCTGGGCCTTGAGAAACAGATTTTGTGGCGACACGGCACCCCAGAGAGAATTGAGTCAGACAATGGGACTCATTTCCGGAATAACCTTATAGATATTTGGGCCAAAGAGCATGGCATTGAGTGGGTATATCACATCCCCTACCATGCACCAGCCTCTGGGAAAATCGAACGGTACAATGGACTGTTAAAAACTACACTGAGAGCAATGGGTGGGGGAACTTTCAAGCATTGGGATACACATTTACCAAAGGCCACCTGGTTGGTCAACACCAGAGGATCTGCCAACAGGGCTGGCCCAGCCCAGTCAGAACTTTTACATATTGTAGAGGGGGACAAAGTTCCCGTGGTGCATATGAAGAATTTGCTGGGGAAGACAGTCTGGGTTATTCCTGCTTCAGGTAAAGGCAAACCCACTCGTGGGATTGCTTTTGCTCAGGGACCCGGATATACTTGGTGGGTAATGCGGGAAGATGGGGAAGTCCGATGTATACCTCAAGGGGATTTGATTTTAGGGGAAAACAGCCAGTGAACTCAATTGTATGCCGTTGCCTGCTGTGTAATGCTTTTATAGCCCATCAACTAGATGTCTCCAGGTCACCAGCGACTGGCCCTGACTTCCCTCCAGCCATCATCCCAACAGAGAATGAACTTGGAACATCATGGACCGAATGGACTCGGCAGCATTATAGGGATTGGTCCATGCACTAAGAAAATGATTTTTTCCTCTTGGTCTGTATGTATATGGATGTATATATGTGGGAGAGTGACGGTGTATTGAAAATGTGGGATCTGAGCACGACGTGAATGGTATGGAATAAGGGGTGGATAATGTCCTGGGTTCAGCAGTAGCAGTCATGTTTTTTCCTTTGTGTTAACTGGTGCAGTGCTGTGTTTTGACTTCTAGTTTGAGAACAGCGTTGGTGAAGCCGATGTTTTCGGTTGTTGCTAAGTGATGTTTACCCTGACCAAGGACTCTGTGAGGGTCATGCTCTGCCAGGGAGGAGGGGAAGCTGTGAGGAAGCAGAGACGGGGCGCCTGACCCGGGCTAGCCGGGGAGGTATTCCATACCACAGCACGTCATGCCCGGGGTGGGGGGTAACTGGGAGTTACCCGGAAGGACAGGGGCTTCCGGGTGGAACTCGCTTTCTTGGCCGGTGGTATCGTATTCTCTTCTCTTGTTATTTTCCCTTATCATTGTTTTAGCTGATAGTAGCGGTGGTGATTTGTTGCTGGACTGGACTGTTCTTGTCTCAACCCGTAGGAGTTGCACTCTCTTGATCCTCCTCCCCGTTCCTCCGGGAGCGGGGAAGGGGAGAGCCCCGGTGCGGGGGGGGGGGGGGGGGAGACGGACACGGACCTCGATTGTTGTCAGCTCGGCACCACTCACTGGGAGTGAGTGAACAAGTTACCTGACTGGGTTTAAACCACGACATGTGCTTAACCAGTTATATGCTAGTTGCAAAGGGTCTTCAGGACATGTATCCAATCATAATATGCCAAATCACTGTAAGTGCGTGTAAGAAATAGTATTTAAGGGGTTAAGGCTTTGTAATAAACGGCTTTTGTCTGATCATATTGATCTCTGACTGAGTCCATATATTTTCTGCGGCAGCTGGGTGAGTCAGAGTTTGGGGTGAAACTGCGAGATGACATGGGTTGGAGAAACCATTGCTCATGGGGGGCTGCAGAGGGGCTCATGCCAAACCCCAGAGCAGCACCCACAGCATCACCCTGAGCTGCAATGCTCAGCCCTGCTCATGATCCGGGGGGGAAGCAATTTCTGCTGCTCACCCTCATGAAAGTGAGCCCAAAACTATTTGGGATTTGTTGGCTGGGTGCAGACACCTGCTTCACTCGCTGCCATGGGGCTACTCTGGCAGGATCCTTACCTCCCATCCAGCCCAACAGAGCTGAACACCGGCTTTCCTCACCAGCTACCAACAGCCCATCATGGCCTGAAACTGGGGTTGGTCACCCAAGTTGGGGCAGGGCGAGTGATCAGTTTCCATGGATGCAACGCCAGAGGGGTGGACCATGTGCTGGTTAATTTTTCTGTATGCACAGAACAGGCAAGAACAGAGTTATGATGTATCAGGAGGTGCTTTTGGGGGTGGTGGTGATTTTTTGTTTGAGTATCACCACTAGCCTTCCAAAGAGACCAAACTGCACTGACCAGCTGGGACCCCCATGCACTGGGTCACCCCATTAACTCACAGCCCATCCTTCTGAGATGAGTGCATTGCCAGCAGATGTTCCTGATATAATCATGCTTATCATCTTACTTCAAAATTTCAATGGGTAAAAATTCCCCATCTTGGTATGAGATTGCAACATGAATTCCCTCTGCCACGTATGGAAGGGATGGAATAATACCACTTTTCAGCTTTGCACAATGCTTGATGTAAGTTTCCAAAAATAAGCACTCTAGTAAACCCAGAAGTGTAGAATAATGCAAATCGTTTATAGATCCCTGATAATAGATGTGGCTTCTGTTACTCCATTACCTGTTGACACGGGAGTCACGGACAACGCAGAGACGATCAATGTGATCAAGCAATTGCCAAATTTATTACAAAGCCTTAACTCCTTATATACTATTTCTTACATGCACTTACAGTGATTTGGCATATTATGATTGGATACATGTCTTGAAGACCCTTAGTGACTAACATATAATTGGTTAAGCACAGGTGTGAGAACTTGACCTCGAAAGCTTGCCAACAGTCCACAGTTCTCATTAATTCAGTGAATTCCAGCTGCTTCTTGCTTGCTTCAGCTTCTTCAGGCCTCTCATGGCCTTGCTGTATCTTTCAGGATTATTCAGAGTTTATGTGCTAATTATGCATTCTCCCATGAGAACACTGTCTCCACAATTACCATATCAAGGATTACTCCTGCTCCTTCAGGAAGGACACAGCACCCTCCTCCTCACAAACCATTACCATAAAGCAGGGTAAACAACAAATAACACCTTATCATTAGCTGCATGGAGCAGTTCCCATTGATTTATGATACTAAATACACTGCAAGGCTGGAGCAGGTTGCGAGCCCCTTTTCTGCAAATGGAATTTCCACAAGAGCATTGTAAAAAACAAGGAGCTACTTTACCTGGGCTGGGTTTTGGGTGGAATCACGTCATGCAACACTAGGGACACACACAGTGTCACGGCAGCGGTACGTCATGCACCTCGCATCATTGCATCATCATGTCATTAAATGGTTTGGGTTGGAAGGAACCTTAAAGTTCATCTAGTTCCACCCCCTGCCGTGGGCAGGGACACCTTCCACTAGACCAAGTTGCTCCAAACCCTGTCCAACCTGGCCTTGAACACTGCCAAGGATGGGGCAGCCACAGCTTCTCTGGGCAACCTGTGCCAGTGCCTCACCACTCTCACAGAGAAGAACCACAGCAAAGAATTACAGTTCGCCTCATTTGTTGCGCAGCATTGAAGGACTTCTGCTGACAGACTAGTTTGTTTAGAAATTAGAACACTCAGAGTGATTTACAGGATTTGATTTAAAAGACATAGCGGGAGTTGGCAAAATTCACATATCATGGGGTTAATGTGGGTTAGAATGGAGCTATTTGTAATATGGAGGGGATGGCAAGAAGACAGAGAAGGAGCTGCTGCACAGGGACTCCTGTCTCAGTCGTGGAAGGATACACAAGGATCCACGAAAATGTACCCAAGTGCTGCAGTGCTGACGCATTTTGAAATAAAGTTGAAGCATTAAGACATTTTTCCTTAGTGCTGACTCCTTCTGGAAATTCCCAAGACAATTACAATGTTTTCTGAGTATACAAAAGAACTAGGAGATTTGTAATCAGTTTATTCTTCTCTCCTTAAGAGCATTCAATTTCTAAGCACATTATTTAGCAGCAGGCTAAAACACAATGGCAGAAGAGAATGGACTGCTTTTATGCCCATGTGGTAGTAAACACTTCAAGCTAAAAAAGCAAGTTCAAAATGAAAACCTCTCTGTGTTCTTTCTAAATTAGTAGTAAAGCAACAAAAACCACACAACTTTCACAGCATTTTCACTGAAAATTTAATTTTACAAAATACCCTTTTCCATCAAAGAAACTTCCCTGCAATGTACATGAACCCAGCATTTTATAGATAGAATCATAGAATAGTTAGGGTTGGAAAGGACCTTAAGATCATCTAGTTCCAAACCCCCTGCCATGGGCAGGGACACCTTACGCTAAATCATATCACCCAAGGCCTCGTCCAACCTGGCCTTGAACACTGCCAGGGATGGAGCATTCACAACCTCCCTGGGCAACCTATTCCAGTGCCTCACCACCCTAACAGGAAAGAATTTCCTTCTTATATCCAACCTAAACTTCCCCTGTTTAAGTTTTAACCCATTACCCCTTGTCCTGTCACTACAGTCTCTAATGAAGAGTCCCTCCCCAGCATCCCTATAGGCCCCCTTCAGATACTGGAAGGCTGCTATGAGGTCTCCACGCAGCCTTCTCTTCTCCAGGAGATATCAGAGAGGTTTGAAAGAAGAAAAAAACTTTCATCAGACACCTAGTTGCAAAACCTACGGCAATGTGAATACAATGCTAAAGAAAGTAATGCAATATAACCGATGAATCTATTTGAAATGTGAAAATTTTCCTTAAAATGGTCCATATGGTATGTAGAACATCACATCTGGCACTAAACTGCCGGTATTTATGTTTAAATATGAAAACAGTGTATGCAAGGAACAGTTTTTTGAAAAAGAAACCAAGTGCTGCTCTTGTAAGGCGAACATACACAAAGGTGGTGACAGCACACAGGGAAACCCACCGAGATGAAAACTCAAGTGTTCAAACACTGAACCTTTTTTTTTTTTTTTAAACTTACCAATAAATGTTTCAAGGATAACCGATGCCAAATTAACAAGAGGACACTCTTTTAGGGAGCAAGGTGTCACACATACAGGTCTACATAGTTTCAACAAATACGCCCAGATATCTCTGGTTGGCTGGGCAGGACCTATCTGGGCTGCTGCATCCTGGCAGCTTTGAATTTTGAAATCCTCTTTGGAGTTTCTTCTGATGCTTTGGAGAAGACTTCCTCTGATTTCTGCTCCAGAATGGTAGGCAGGACAGGGTGAGTAATGACTGGGTGGGGAATTAAGGAGGGAGACAAAGGTTCTTTTTCTATAACAGTTCCAGAAAATGCCTACAACAGAGGAGAACATTCAAAATGAGCTAATAAAATGCAAATGTGAAGCTATGCCCATAAAGGTCATTACCCGATATTAGCCTGATTAGGATTGTTATTTCTCTTAACCAAAAGTTAAGAAATATCTTTAAATCAATGACTGTTCCTTGCATAAGTAACCAAACTGTAATTAACCTCAAAATATAGCTTGTTCAAAGATGACTGAATGAAAGACAGCATCTTAAAAGTACTACTTCATCTCATTCCTACCACATAAATGATCTAAAAATTTGCTTCCTCACTGACACATGCTCAAGAAATAAAACAGCTGATGTAATATACAGTTTCATTTTGGATAAAGAATGCAGACTTTGCAAAGTTGAAGCATGTAATCATTTCCATCATACATCATATTTTATGACTTAATATCTTCTAATTGCATCAAGCTGACACATTGCATACAAATTGGCAAGCACGTGTTTTGTTTGTTCTTTCCTACTTACCAAATATGATCAAAAAATGGTGAAAGAAATTTATACTTAAGAGAAAGGCAAACTTGCTTCCAACTATTTCTCTCTATAAAAGGTCTAATAAAAACATTTAATGATTAAAAATTATAATTTATATGCAGTTGATTATAGGACTTAATCCTTTTTAACTTAGCTAAGAAATTATTCTTGTAAAATATTGGGAAAAAAACAGCTCAGAAATATTTTTCATAAACATATTTAAGAAGAAATCACCCTGCTATGTATTAAAAACAGGCAATTCAAAATGCCTAAGGGCAAGGGGAAGCAGTTTACATCCAAGGTTTGATCCTCAGACTGGGCACAAAGGAACATGCACCAGATTTATTAACTATGTTTAGTTCTGCTTTTTCATAACTCAGTTACCAAGAAAAACAAAGCAAAACAAGCCAGCCATTCTTTCCTTGCAGGACCTGCAAAAAAGCAGTGGGGTTTTGTTTTCTGCTCCAGTAGCCAAAGTTCGCCTAAAGCTGTGCCTGCACACAACAGCCTTGTTCTAACAACATGCTGATTTTCAAAAACAGGTAAGCAGAATCGTGTTCAAATCAGAAGCAAAAAGAAAAAAGTTAGTGTTTTGCAAACATTTCAAACACCCAGAAAACCAACCAAAAACACAGCAACGGCATTTAAGAAGGCATATCTAACTGGAGTGTCTTGCTCTCTCTCCTTCAGTTACTTAAAAACACATTATACTGTAGAGAATAATCATGCCATATTCAGAAAATGGACTGAGTGTACTTAGATATTTTATAAAAATATAGCAAATATATTCCAGAAAATCTACAACATGAAGTGATAACTCTACAGATGGACCTTTCACCACCAATCACATCCTGCCTGGATTCATCTGTAGCTGTTTGTATGAAAAGTGATAATAAACAATAGCTTTTATGAGGAATTAATTTACTGTAGAAAGTATTTTTTCTAAAAATAGGGTTTTCATTGAACTTGCCCATTTCATTGGAAAATACTGAAAACTGTTTCATCTAGTTTGAAAAAAAAATAGTGTAAGTTCTTACATAATAAAAATTAAGAATACTTAAGAATGCTCTGAATTTCAGAGCAGCAGCTATATTTAATTTTTGTACTCACCTGGCTCCTAAGCAACTGTACATTTTCCCTTATGTTGTACAGTCTCCTTCCTTTATGATGAAGCCCTGAACTTTCCAAACATGTGAAAATAGATTTGTTTGGCATCACTAATGGCCCTAGACTGGAATTGGATGAGCAAAGGTGCAGTGATTTCTTCCATAGGTCAATTCCTCTGCCTTTGGCAAGTCCAAATGATAACTCAGTTGACATTTGTGTCTATTAAAACTTAAAAACACCACCCGGAAAGATGCCAGGCAGCTGTGCAACACAGGTTGCAGACAATCAACTCTTCCCTGTCATCAACCATGAAGCACAGATTTCTCTTTTTTTCTTTTTTTTTTAAAAATCCTGCTATATATCCTGCAGGGGCACTTTCAGGATGACACAGTAGACATGACGCTGGTTTCAGTCACACCAGCAAGCGACTAATTTGTCAAATCTCAGGTCCTGGGGAAGCCCCTGCCTTGTCTCCTCCCCTCTGCCCCCAGGATGCCTATGACAGAACTTGTCATAATGTCATAGAATCATAGAATAGAATAGTTAGGGTTGGAAAGGACCTTAAGATCATTAAGTTCCAAACCCCCTGCATGGGCAGGGACACCTCACACTAAACCATATCACCCAAAGCCTCGTCCAACCAGGTCTTGAACACTGCCAGGGATGGAGCATTCACAACTTCCCTGGGCAACATATTCCAGTGCCCAACCACCCTAACATGAAAGAATTTCTTCCTTACATCCAATCTAAACTTCCCCGTTTAAGTTTTAAACCATTAACCCTTGTCCTATCACTACAGTCCGTAATGAAGAGTCCCTCTCCAGCATCCCTATAGGCCCCCTTCAGATACAGAAAGGCTGCTATGAGGTCTCCACACAGCCTTCTCTTCTCCAGGCTGAACAGCCCCAACTTTCTCAGCCTATCTTCATATGGGAGGTGCTCCAGTCCCCTGATCATCCTCGTGGCCCTCCTCTGGACTTGTTCCAACAGTTCCATGTCCTTTTTATGTTGAGGACACAAAGAACTGCACACAATACACCAGGTGAGGACTCACAAGAGCAGAGTAGAGGGGTAGGATCACCTCCTGCGACCTGCTGGTCACACTCTTTTTGATGCAGCCCAGGATATGGTTGGCTTTCTGGGCTGCAAGCGCACACTGCCTGCTCATGTTCATTTTCTCATCGACCAGCACTCCCAAGTCCTTCTCCGCAGGGCTGCTCTGAATCTCTTCTTTGCCCAACCTGTAGCTGTGCCTGGGATTGCCCTGACCCAGGTGTAGGACCTTGCACTTGGCATGGTTAAACTTCATGAGGTTGGCATCAGCCCACCTCACAAGCATGTCCAAGTTCCTCTGGATGGCATTCCTTCCCTCCAGCATATCAACCGAACCACACAGCTTGGTGTCATCAGCAAACTTGCTGAGGGCATGCTCAATCCCACTGTCCATGTCAGCGATGAAGATGTTAAACAAGACCGGTCCCAACACCAATCCCTGAGGGACACCACTCGTTACTGGTCTCCAGCCAGACATTGAGCCATTCACCAAAACTCTGCGTGTGGCCATCCAGCCAGTTCTTTATCCACCAAGTGGTCCATCCATCAAATTGATGCCTCTCCAATTTAGAGACAAGGATGTCCTGCAGGACAGTGTCAAACGCTCTGCACAAGTTCAGGTACATGATGTCAACTGCTCTACCCCTGTCCATCAGTTCTGTAGCCACATCATAGAAGGCCACCAAATTGGTCAGGCAGGATTTCCCCTTAGTGAAGCCATGCTGGCTGTCACCAAGCACCCTGCTGATTTTCATGTTCCTTAGCATGCCTTCCAGGAGAATCTGCTCCAAGATTTTGCCAGGCACAGAGGTGAGACTGACTGGTCTGTAATTCCCTGGGTCATCCATTTTCCCCTTCTTGAAAATGGGGGTTATATTTCCCTTTTTCCAGTCGTCAGGAACTTTACCTGACTGCCATGATTTTTCAAATATGATGGCCAGCAGCTTAGCAACTTCATTTGCCAGCTCCTTCAGGACCCGCGGATGGATTTCATCAGGACCCATGGACTTGTGCACGTTCAGATTTTTAAGATGGTCTCGAACCAGTTCCTCTCCTACAGTGGGCCTAAGGTCTTCATTCTCACAGTCCCTGTGTCTGCCTTCCAAGACTTGGGTGGTGTGGTCAGAGCCTTTGCCAGAGATGACCGAGGCAAAGAAGTCATTCAGAACCTCAGCGTTCTCCAAATCCTGTGTAGCCAGTTCTCCTGAGAGCTTCCTGAGGGGGCCTACGTTCTCCCTAGTCTGTTTTTTATTTGCTATGTACCTGTAGAATCCCTTCTTGTTATCCTTAACATCCCTAGCCAAGTTTAACTCTAACTGGCCCTTAGCTTTCCTAACCTGGTCCCAAGCTTCCTGGAAAACATCCCTGTACTCTTCCCAGGCCGTCTGTCCTTGCTTCCACTTTTTATAAGCCTCTTTTTTCATTTCAATTTTCCTCAGGAGCTCCTTATCCATCCATGGAGATCTCCTGGCCCTCCTGCTGCACTTCCTTCTGGTTGGGATGCAACACTCCTGAGCTTGTAGCAGGTGATCCTTGTCCTCCTGAAGCAAACTAGGTAGGAGTTAGAAAATTATTTTAAAGAAAACAAACTGATGGTATAGGCAACTAAAGTCATTAGTTTTCTTGTTTTAATCCCTGCCAACAATCAATAATTGATTAAAAACTGTACCTTAGTTGTCCCTGAAAAGTGTGGAAGCTTTTTCGGTTGCTGCTGCTGCCCCTCCGGCTCCTCCTCCTCCTCCAGTATGCTTTCACTCTTGTCACTCTGAGTGGCTTCATCACGGCTAATACTCCTCTGAACTCCTCGTCTATCATCAAACTCAGCAGCACTGTTATCACCGGTATTGCTACAAACACTGTTCTCTCTGCTTCGAGACTTCAAAATTGATTTACGAGGGACATATTCTCCATTCACAACATCAACAAAGATTCTATAAATGAAATTGTTAATTTTAATAAATTATTTCAGAATCAGATGACAAATTTACAGTGATCTTGCTTTGTCTTTTGTACAAATTAATTATTATGTGCTTTTCTAACTTTTTTTGCTGCAGAATTACAATACTGTATCTTCAGAGGCATTTTATTTACCAATGTACAAGAATCAGTTCTGTAGAGCAAACACTGTTATGCCCTTTTTATTCAAGCATTAAGTTGATATACTCTTCTAGCAGAAAAAGTATATCTTTTTGAAAAGTGTTAGAAAACAGAATAGTGTAAGTTTCCAAAGTTAGAAAGAAGGTAAACTAGACAATTGTCAGAGTTGTTTCAGTGAAGCGAAACAGAAGATCACAATGATGGAAGGCTCTCTAGAATTAAGTCTTTGTCAAGTGTAGAATATAAAAACAAATACTTGAAACATTCACTGCACATGGAAAGGATGAATCTTGTTCCTGACAAGTGCCATAATCTCCTGCTTTCAGTCAAAAAAAAAAAAAAAAAGAGGGGGAAAAAATCAGCTTTTAAGATCAGATCATCATGGAGACTCTTTTCAAGTATTATCAATCAGATTGTAAACTGGTAAAGAACCCTCTTCCTACAGTTTGTACTCCATCTCCATGAGTTAAAGAAGTCAAGGGTGGGTGGAGGAGAAAAAGTCATGTTAGAGGACAGCGCCAACTTTATCAAACTCATGAAGGAGGAGCCCAATGACTGGATGAGTTTTAAGGGTATTACTTGTTTCTTAACAGCTTTATTCATCAGGCACTCCTGGGAACACCTGCATCTCTCTACAGAAGATGGGGTTCCTTTACAGAGCTCTGTGAGAACACCATGGAAGAATCCTTTACCTCATCTTCAGTCCCAGAGGATGTAATTACAGGATGGGTTTTAACTTTTCCCGCTTTGTGACACATTTTTTAAGATATTTAGGTGCCTGAATATACCGACATAAAAATGCAGTGTGATTTTCAGAAGCACTTAATTAACCAATATAATAGGTGTCTGTGTTCATCTTTACAAACCTAAATACTTAGTTTAACTCTCCCATCACCTTAGTTTTGTGTTTATAGAGTCCTCTATGCCCAAAAGCATTTTTCAAGCTCTCTGACTGTGAGTGTTCTACAGGTGAGCACTTATTTTTACAAAGAATAGAGAGAGTGACTAAAGTCAGGGAGAACAAATGCAAGACAAACTATGCCAACAGAGACCTGAGGATATTCTGAAGATACTGGAAGGAAGAGACAAAACCCAGCAATTAGTAAATCTTGGTAAAGAAGGAGTATTACAAAGGATAGATCTGGTCAGTTATGTTTGAAAACAAACACAGAAGCAAAAGACATGGAATTAACCAGAACATATAACATCACTGCTGTATCCCTTTATCCAGATGACATGTACTGGCAAATTTACCTCAATTTCAGAAGGTCTGAAAAAGTAGATGAATGATGAATTGCTAGTTGGAAAAGGAAATTTTAAGCTTAGAAATGTTTTGTGGATATGAAAGCGTGGCACCATGCAGAAGCCACAAACTTTCATTTTTAAGTAGTAAACTCATTTCCAGATATTTCTTTCAGGAAATAGTAGGCTCTGGTTCGTACTATAGGTGAACAGAAATGAAAATAGAAGGGCTGCTGAGGGGAAATCTCACACACCGGTAAATGTCTGCTGGGGTTTTGATGTTAGGCAGCTCTGGAGTTGCATGGCCATTGCCGCTGCTGTTCTTCCTTTTACGCTTGGCCTCTTCTTTCTTTTCACTGAATTTCAAAGTAGTATTTTTTCCTGTGTTTATTCTTACCTGAAAATTGAACACAAATGATGGTCTTGACCATCACAAATGATCAACAACCAGGCTGCAAACTGACTTTTGACATTCTCCTATCCAAGCAGTTGAGAATTACGAAGCATAGACAAGTTAAACGTATGAATGGTAACATTCACAGTGCGAGTTTTTTATTCTTTATCACTTGCATTAGGCTGAGGCATTTCTTTGCACTAATATGCACAGACTTTGCATATAATATATGAAAATCTGCTTATTCTAACTCTGCTCAACAGCTGAGCTGTTCAACAGTTAATTTCGAGTCCAGTAAAAAGTAATTTTAAAAACTCCTAGACAGGATACTACCTTTTGAAACAGCCAGAAGCCAGGACAACAAAGTATACATTTGAAGACCATTTTTTTAATACCGTATTTGAAACTGCAGATTTAAACAGTGGGTTTCAAACCCTTGAAAAAAAACCCAACATGTCACCTATAATTATTATTCTACATTATCTACATTATCTAAAATTTTCTATCTTAGATATGGTATATATGTTTTATCCAATCTCTTAAGAAGATAAAAATAATAAAGTACAAACCCTTTTAGGTTCAACAGTGTGAGAGAAAAAAATAGTTGGAACAGAGTTATCTCCAACATCTATGTCATCTTTATCATCACTGTGATAATAAGTAGAGCCATTAAATTGGCCACCAAACAAGTCTGAATTTGTTACTTCTTTATGGAAGTCGTCCTGAGTAATACAGTCTTCTGCTCTATACATCCCATTCAGATCTGTCCTCTTATCTTCTTTCTCTTCAGAGGAGCTTGTATCTTCTCCATTTGTCTCAACTGTATTAGGCATCCTATGAAATGAAAAATATCCAAGTGAACTGAGGCAATTCATACTCGAGAGACACAGATATAAAATAATGAACAAGCCTGTACGTAACTTTCTTTAGCCAGTTACTGTATTTTTAGCCAGATGGTGAAACCTTTTCTATACTCTATAAGAACGACTATGTCCTTCCCATGTCAACTGGAAATACCAAAACTGTGACATTCTGGCTAATGATATATGTATTGCTTTAGGATCAGAACAGATCTCAGGATACCATTAAATACTAAACGTGCTAACTCCTACATTGCAAACAATGGATTTTTCTAGCCTGTGGGAAATGGATTTTACTTCCCCCTTTTTTATAATCCTAAAGGAAAAATACTATACTGCTGGACTGCCATGGTTGTACAACAGAGGCAGGTTTTAGCACCTTTGGCCTTGCAGTGCATGTTTTATTCATGTTCCACCTTTCTTCCACCTATTATAATTTTAACTGCATCAGCCTAGTCAGCTATTTGCACTCACGGCAAGATCCTTTGTGTACAAACAGAATCACATGCATGTAGTCTTCTGAGCTCCAAACATGACACTGCTACTGCAGCACTGTATCTGTCGGGTTCACCAAGAAGCTCTTGTCTCTCAAGCTCTTCCAAGTGGGCCCACAGTTCCTCCTCTGACTGAAAATGGCCCATGGATTTTGTATCACTTCCATTCATTGGAATATCCACCTCAAAAACATTTGATAATTTTGGCTTTGAGTGAGGTTTGTGAGCAGTTCCATATTTTCCTGTGTAACAACAACAACAACAACAAAAAAAATGCAATTACTAAAGCAATTGACAAAAAAATACAAACCAAAACCAAAAAAGAAACAAACAAAAAAACCTAACAAAAACTATTGGGGTGTGGGGAAAACCCACAAGGGATTTAAAGGATATGGGCAGAACATTTTCCATTTCAAATTATTGTTTAACTGTTTAAGTGAAACTGTCAATGAACCAGAACACCAGCACAGGATAATACTCTAATAGTCTCTGGATAATATTTTCTCTGCATGCATATTACTTTCTAAGTGCTGTCTTTTATTTAGCTTTTGCTGAATTAATGTCTGACTGATTCGGTGATCTTTACAGTTAACCCATCAAACCAGTTAAGAAGATTAAATCAAAAGTTACCAGCCTACTTAGATTTACTGGTTTACTTGGCACATCAGCGAGCTAAAAATTACGTATTGCGCACACTGTATTAGCTTCTAATTTAGGAAGGTCATTTGAACACCAAAGAAATACTGAATTGTTTATTGATTTCTTGATTATTCAGTGTTGTGGTTACTTCCTTATGTTCCTGTATCTTGCTGTGTTTTGATTTTTTTTCCACTTGAAAGTTTAATAAATCAAAATTTGGTTTTGGTTTTAATCCAAAACAGAGCAATCTTAAGCCACACAAAGGTCAAGGCTGTGATCTAGAAATCTTGCTTGTCAAATACTTAATCTGTTAAATTCTAATTGCAGGAATGTTTCCTTATTCAAATAATTAACTTTAATTTTGAATATTTGTATAATGTGTGTGTGTGTGTGTAAATACATACACATATGTATGCATGCATATGTACCAGGACTCATCTCTATGACACAGGAATCAAAAGCAGTTGTGAGGCAAAACTTACAGTTTCACTCATGTATGAATCTGAAGGATTTGATCCTGATCAATGCTTTTTATGGAACATGCCTATGTAGTGATAGGTATTAAATAAGACAGGATGCTTTTCCCAAAGCATTTTCCTGCCCAAGTTTGACTTTATATTGCTGTGCGGTCTTACATTTCTTACACTACTAATGAACTAACTTTTCTGAAGAATCTTTTTGTGACATTGTTGAACAACTAGTCTATTATGAGACCTCACCTGGAGTACTGTGTGCAGTTCTGGTGTCCTCAACATAAAAGGACATGGAACTGTTGGAACAAGTCCAGAGGAGGGCCACAAGGATGATCAGGGGACTGGAGCACCTCCCATATGAAGACAGGCTGAGAAAGTTGGGGCTGTTCATCCTGGAGAAGAGAAGGCTGCGTGGAGAACTCATAGCAGCCTTACAGTATCTGAAGGGGGCCTACAAGGATTCTGGAAAGGGACTCTTCATTAGGGACTGTAGTGATAGGACAAGGGGTAATGGGTTAAAACTTAAACCGGGGAAGTTTAGATTGGATGTAAGGAAGAAATTCTTTACTGTAAGGGTGGTGAGGCACTGTAATGGGTTGCCCAAGGAAGTTGTGAGTGCTCCATCCCTGGCAGTGTTCAAGGCCAGGTTGGATAGAGCCTTGTGTGGCATGGTTTAGTGTGAGGTGCCCCTGCCCATGGCAGGGGGGTTGGAACTTAATGATCTTAAGGTCCTTTCCAACCCTAACTATTCTATGATTAAAAAGAAAACAGGTGACTGAAAGTAATGTTGGAATGCGTCCCCCCCTACTCTTCCACCGGATAGCATTTTTCATCATCTCACTAAGAAAAGGTTGAATATTTTTCATATAAATATATATATATATATAAAAATATTTAATATAAATTGAGGTAAGCCAAGCAATCAGAGCAGCTTGTGAGGATTTCATTTGGTATAATTACAAAATTAATAAATAAAATTTGGAAGGATTAGTTGACAATCTGTTTCAATTTGATTTTCAGATTACGTCCTCCCAATTTCTTTCTGCTACACTTCAGTGTTAACCATTGACTTGACTACCAAGGTATGCACGTGGCTTCCTGAACATCAGCAAGTGCTTTAACAAACCAGTTGTTTTCTCTCCTCATTCTAACAAAACTTCTGTCCGTTATGAAACCACATCAGATCTCGAAGACAACAGAGGATAACCACTTGCTGCTCCAATATCCACTGTGCTCACTCACTGCCACTACAAAGCACCGCCATTAACTTCATACACTAACAAAAAAAAAGGGAAATATTAAAATCCAGAAAAATGAAGTCAGCAATAAACTAATGAGATGCTCAGGATACTTGTCCCTGTCTTCCACAGAGATACAGACCATTTCCATGTGAACAAAACCAATTCCTATGCTGATGAAGCCCAGGGTGCCTCAAAATATTCGCTAAATTGTTGTTTTAGTTACTTCTCTTTCAATCTCAGTACAGATTGGTGCTGATAGAGAGTGCACATAATTCCCACTTCAGATGAATAATTTTTAAATTGAATAAAGCAATTTTTTAAATGTAAAGGATACAGTGAAATGATTTGGTCAATCCCACATAAGGAGTGTTAATCCTAGAAAAGAAATATTTTGCTTACAATTAAATTAAGACATGTGTTTATTAATAAATCATTTACCTTTTGTTTCAATACTATTATCTTCAATTTCTTCTCTTATGTCAACAAAATCACCTGCAGACTAATTATAAAGATGGAAAGTTAGGATTATTAAATGAACTGGTTTATGCTTATTAACAGCCTAGATATTTTTAAAATAATACATAGCAGCAAATGCAGTGATATGCAAGACAGGAATTACTACATTATTTATACCCTTTTATCAATCTGAATATACATAATTTTCCAGATTTTTACAAATATTACAGAATTGGGATGAAACAAAACAATTCACTTACATCACTCATTTTCTGCAGATCCGTGAATTCAGCTCGTGATTCAAAATTCTTCATGACTTTTTGCAAATCATCCAACACTTTTCTTACATCTGAAAAAGAAAATCACAATTGCTCTGCAAAACATGACATATGTACCCACAGCATTAACATTTTAACTGAAGTAATTTCATGCTGAAAATATGATTTATAATCCAGCTTTAAGGAAAATAAAAAGCTAAAAGTTCTCCTCATTCTATTTTGTTTTTTCCTTTTAAATGTACTGCTTTAAAACATGTTCTCTCACAATTTATCAGTGATGTACATATAGTGCATGTTACTTTGCAACTATTAAAATTTAGGACTACTGCTGTTTTTCTCAACACAGGGCATGTAACTAGGTTCCAGATGTTGCACGGTATTATCAAATTCCTATACAGCAATAGCTTAGTTTGTGTTATCATACATAAAGCAATATTTCACAGCAGTTTGCATAGATAATTTTAGTCCAGCTGGACAACAAGTGAATGGATAATGCATATAAAAAAAATTTGTCTGTTTCTTTCTTGGATATATTTCTGAGTTAGACTGAGATGTATTGAAAAATGCAGTTAGCTCCTAAGAGATATTGTTTCCTACGTTCTAATGAATCAAAAGCAGAGGTTCACCATGAAAAATAGAGGTATATCTCACACACAAATTCTCTCTTCTAGGAAACTATGTTGTATTTAGTTAAATCTCTAAAATTTCAATATTAAGTTTAAAATAGCTCATTATCTTTTTTTTTTAAATTAGACACAAGTGCAACAAGTTCAGGTTATTGATACAGAGTGGTAAAAAGTATCTCAGATACCTTCTGACCACGCTGGTTTTGAACACATATTTCTTACCAGTAGCAGTAAGTAAAGTAAGCTTTATTTCACTCTATTAAACAGAATATTGCTTGGGTCACATGCCAATAAAAGGAGAAAAATAGTGACACAACAGCCCCCACCCCCAAGACCTTCTCAGATTTCCTACTGTTTTATAGCAGGCACTCAGTAAGCAGATCAGAAGAGGTTTGAGGAGAGAAAGAGTAAAATCCCTTTTGCGATGACAGAAATGCCAAGTCTGTCAAAGGTCTAAGCAGCCAAAATATTTTTAAAAGAATGAAAAGTATGTAAGGGTGGCTGAAATTATGTATGACTGTGTTAATACGTTCCAAAATAGTGGCATATTTCCACTGAGCCATCTTTTAGAACATGCACTGCTATTTTAAATAAAAACAGCCACTTATGCTCTAGCCATGAATGGGTTACAAAAAAAGACTGCATTAACAAAATGGAAATTACAGTGTAAACAGTTCATAAAATCTCACAGCCCTGATGTTGCTCTAGATCATTAAATTTCTGCAACAATTAGACCTTTTCTCACAGCATCAAATTGGACTGGTTGCCATGGCAAATCTGAACCCTTAAGTCACATATCTTTGATTGCACAAAGGTCAGACTCAGACAGCCTAATAACTCAAGGATCTGTTTGACAGATTTCATCCGAGCATGGTCACGTAACAGCATAAAACTATGTCAACAGTTGTTAAAAGCATGGGGTCAGGGAAAAGGTTAAGGTTATGGAATGTTTTTGCTTCAGAAAACTCAGTCAGATAATGTGTCTAACCATCTTTAGATCTGAAGAACATTATTTTAGGTAGGAGGTCAAATCAATAACTTTTTTCAAGAAAACTGGAAAATATTAAAAATGGAAGCTAGGTAAGCTAAGTACATTTTTAAAACTGCCGACATATAAATACCATGAAACTAAAGTTGAAGCCTTGGCTTGTCAATGTGCTCACAATTGATTGTTCACTGATGTTTCCATCAGGAAGAGCTGTTACTTCTAAGGAAATTCATCACTGTCGTGGTTTAAACCCTAGCCAGACAGCTTGCTCACTCACTCCCAGTGAGTGTTGCCAGGCTGATAGCAATCGAGGCCCCCCCCCCCCGGGCCTCTCCCCTTCCCCGCTCCCGGAGGAACAGGGAGGAGGATCGAAAGAGTGCAACTCCCACAGGTTGAGACAAGAATAGGCCAGCAACCAATGGATAACACAAATCACCACCGCTACCATCAACGACAACAATGATAAAAGAAAATAACAAGGGAAGAGAATACAATACCACTGGCCAAGAAACGAGTCCAACCCAGAAGCCCCTGTCCTTCCAGGTAACTCCCAGTTACCCCCCCCCCCCCCCCAGGCATGACGTGCTGTGGTACGGAATACCTCTTTGGCTAGTCTGGGTCAGGTGTTCCCCTCCTCCCTGGCAGAGCATGAGCCTCACAAAGTCCTTGGTCAGGGTAAACATCACTTAGCAACAACCGAAAACATCGGTATCACCAGCACTGTTCCCAGGCTGGAAGTCAAAACACAGCACTGCACCAGCTACCAAGAAGGAGAAAAATGACTGCTACTGCTGAACCCAGGACAGTCACAAAGCAAGTATTACTTTAAACACAAAATTGTTCAATTTTCAGCCAGGTATGTGAGTGTTCAAGTATGAAAAAGCCATTCCAAACAGCTAAGCTCCCTCATCCATTTCTCTAAGTTGAATACCCAAGACTGTGTCATGAAATGGGTTCTGCATATGTTATCCTCATAGGGCTCATTTCAGTAGTTCAGTTCTCTAGAGCAGCTCGCAAAACAGTTGAATTCAGAGAGCTGCTGGTCACCCCAAGAACAGGGACCAGCAGGAAAAGAATGGGCTCTACACAAACATGTCCCACGAGAAAAAGCAGGACTGCCTGAAAAGCCAATGTTTTCTATTCAGTATGCATCATCTCACAAGACCAGGCCCTAAATCACTAGAACAAAGCCTTCTACTTATTTCATGAGATATTTGCACAATCAAAATGTTAACTTCTGAAACAAATCCCTAGATTTGGAAGGAAAACATCAAATCTCCTCACTCGTCCTTAGCTCACTAGTAACAAACTTTGAGTGGCATGCCATTACAAACCAGCATTAAAAACACTTGGGAGAAAAATTTCAAATGCCAGTAACCAAAATAAAACTGTTTCTCATGCCCTAGTATTTTTATTTTGCCATCAGATCTGACAGTAATACATCAGTAAAAAATATAGTATCATTTACCCATTCCTAATCCTTTAATAAAGGGATTATTTTAGGGCTATTATATTTATATGTCTTTTCTTTCAGTTTTTACTAAATCTGTCTGATCTCTACAATAGCACAAAAGACTCTACATCTCTATATTAACAATATTCCAAATGGTTTTAAATCTTAAAAACTATGCTGACAGCAAATAAATACTGCCAAGTGCAAATGGACAGTGAGAAATAAAAGGATATTTTTTCAAGATTGGGAAAACAAAATCACGTTTTCTTATCCCTCAACTGTTTATAGCATTTCACAGAAATTTATGGAAAAAATATCGAAAATTGTATAGGAGGCAGTATAAACAAGAAGACTAGTTATGCATGTATCAAAATGTACAATCAAGGGCTATTCTGTAGTGTTGTGGATTAAGCCCAGCCGGTAACTCAGAACCATGCACCTGCTTGCTCACTCCTCCTCCCCCCCCCCCCCCCCCCTTCCTCTTCCCTCTCCCAGAGGGACGGGGAGGAGAATTGAAAGAATGCAACTCCCACGGATTGAGATAAGAACAGTCCAGGAAGATATAACACAAAACCACTACTGCCACCACCAATAATAATAATGACAAGAATACAGACAAAGAGAATACAACTGCTCACCACCTGCCAACTGATACCCAGCCCAATCCGAACAGTGATCTAGCCCTTCCAGGTAACTGCCCTCAGTTTATATACTGGGCATGACGTGCTGTGGTATGGAATACCCCTTTGGCTAGTTTGGGTCAGGTGTCCTGTCTCTGTTTCCTCATGGCTTCCCCTCCTCCCTGGCAGAGCATGAAACTCAAAAAGTCCTTGGTCAGAGTAAACATTACTTAGCAACAACTAAAAACGTTGGTGTTATCAGCGTTGTTCCCAGGCTGAAAGTCAAAAATACAGCACTGCACCAGCTACTAAGAAGGAGAAAAATGACTGCTACTGCTGAACCCAGGATATGTAGCTAACAAACAGCATGAAGAAAAAGTAATCTTAAAAGCCAGTAGAGACAGGGATTACAATTTAAGGATACTGCGTGAATATAGATTACGGATTCAGCTTCACTTAAGCCCAAGAAAGACAGTTGTTAAAATTGGCAGGTTATGGTATGAAGAGACTCCTATGCTTGCAGATAACAACTGGACAGGTTGGTAATTACTTAAAACCAGAACGGAAAAAAAGACAAATTAACCATTTGATTCATTAAGAAGAAGTTGCAGATCTTTTGTCTGTAAATTTGAACACAAACGGTGAAACTACTCGCAGAAGAAACATGGGGTGAACCAGACACAGTGTCGTAGGAGTTAAGGAAACATATACATTGCAACTTAGTTTGGGTAACAATTCCTTTTAGCAGTGCTTATACATGGGAAGGAAGGTACATATGCTATCTTCTATTGGAACAGGCTGAACAAAGCAACATACAGTTACCTGTAATTTTCCCCAAAAGTTAATCAAGGAGATAAGTAAACCATTTAGCTCATGTTGCAAGCCAAAAAGCTGAATTTTCAGGTCAATACAAAAGTGAGCAAGAACTGCCTTTTTGAACAAAAGTCTTCTAAATACAAAAAAAAAAAACAACATCCCGGTGGAGTGTCTGTATGACAAAATTAAGACTGGAATTTGAAACATACTGCTAAAAATCCTTTGAAATTTCATTCCTGTTACTGTGTTCAAACATTTTGTTACAATGGACAAGTGAAATACACTGATGCCATAATAACTGTACTTTTAGCACACGGTAGAAAGCTCTTCTGGATGGGCAACTACCCTTTATTGCAATTTTGCAAACCTACTTTAAGAACTACCCAGCTCACAGACATAAGTACATTGGAGATATTGCTTTCTATATCCCCTCATCCAAATTAAATAATGAATCCTTTCAATAGCAATTTATAAATATAAATATAAATATAAAAGTTTCACTTTTACCTTAAAGTTGTCATAAAAACCAAATTAATTTGCAAAAGAAGAAGGTCATAAACGCCTGAAA